TGATTTCTACTCAATTAAGGTTCCTTTGTTGGTTGTTGGTCAAACGAATTCTCACTTTTGTAATGGCTAGTGAAGTTGAATCTCTTAGTTGTAATTTTTTATTTTCTCTTTGAAATAACAAGTAGAACAGTAAGACGGTTAGACTATGCTACATTATTGTGGGGTTAACGATCTGGAAAAATTCATTGGAGCTTTTTCGTTCTATGTCTCATCTCATTGTACTTGTAGCCTTAGACTCACTTGTATCTTTGCTATCATTTAATAATAATTTAGTTATTTCATTTTTTTAAAATGTTTTGCTACGTTTATTGTAAGGCTATGATAAATCGTTTAAAGTGTTTACTTAGTTTGGTCCAAAAGGTCGAATGCTCAACCCCAAGGCCCCCCCACTCCGACCCGACAGGATGGTGGGAAGGTTAATCACGGTGACTCAGTCAGTAAAGCGGCAGTAGGCTTTATACACGTGCGCACCAGAGATTCAGCATTATTTCAGGTTCTGTAACCTCCACACGGTCGCTGCGGGTTTCGAACCTTGATCAATTGGTCTAATTTTCCCACCACTCGACCAACTGAGCTACCCGTGCGGTAAGTGTTTATTTAGTTTATTATGCTCTAGTCATTCAACAATTTTAATTACATTACGAATAAATTCAATACATGAAATAATTCTGTCATAATAAACGAGATATAAACAGATCATTTTTATACTACGTACATCAGAAAGGAGAGATAAAGAGATCATGCATTTAGATTGTTGGGTGTGTTTCGGAAAATAAAGAGAATTAATTAAAATAAATTAATTAAATAAAATGACTAAAGAAAAACAGGAAAGGAGATGAAGCAGAATTAGTCAAAGCTCGTGCTACGCACGATTTCCTTAAAACGTATTTGTTGCCTCCCACGGTGCTAGGAGCGTTGCAACAATCGTTTCCCAGGATACGATGACTACGAACTAATGTTTGAGCACACAAACAAGAGTTCCAGCGAACGAGAACCAAGTATGAACACAGAAGGAAGTTTGCTGAGTAGTTTTAGGTGTTTTTAGCTCAAGAAATTCGTGAGGAATGTATTGTGCGTTGTGTTTGTTGCAAAGCACCTGCCAGCTATTTATAGGAGGATTTGTTGTGTGTTAAATGGGGTGTTAATGGTCGCCCGCGCACACGAGTCGCGGTTTTTCTTCTCCCTTTCGGGATTTGATCGGCACCCCCCCCCCCCCTGCGCGTAAGAGAGAGCCTTTCCCTTTAGGAATCTTAACTCCTTAAAAGAGGCTTCCCTTTATAAGGGGGTGAAAATCCCTTGAGTTTTTCGGTGTGGGATAAAACACACTAGAAACTCACCATTTTCCCAGTTTTTCCATTTCAACGAGTGAACTTCGAGAATCAATTTCTCATTCACCCGTTATCCGTTTTGAGTGTACCATATATCGAATTGTAGCCCTTAACAAGGACAATCCGAAACCACTTTGACCCGACCCAAATCGGAAGTGGACCCCACTCAAATAATTGCCCCAAAAAGACCATTTAATGCAATTTTAACACATTTTTCCAACATAGATTAAGTTTACCTGCTTTCACACACTTTTTATCCCTCACTAAACTTAATATACTTTTTGTAAACCATTTGAGAACTGTTTTATTTTTCCTCTATGTGTTTTAATCAAATTGTTTTTTCTTAAACTTCTTAAGCATTACTTGTTAAGTAAAATCAAAGTCACTAAATACATTAAGAGCTCGTTTGGTAATACAAAAATTAGCTGAATCGGCTGATTCTGCTGAAATTTATGAAATTCTGACTGAAGTGGCTGAATTGGCTGATTCTGATGATTTATTAAAAAGTTATATTTAAAATATATTCTATTAATACAATAAAGAAAAAATTATATTTAGAAATAGCTAAAATGGTCCTCTACAGTAAATTCACCCAATACAATTACAAAACTAACTTCAACCTTACCTTTTCTTATTATTCCGCAATTCAGCGCGCAAAATCAAAAATTACGTTTTTAGTGAAAAAGTTGGCTGATAAGCCAAAAAACTGAGCTACAAAACGCGCTCTAAGATATATTCTGATCTAAGCACATATGTTCTGATACGATAAAGGAGAGGATGGTAATAAAGGTAGCAGGTTCGTGTGGTAGGATGAGCGGCCTGAATGATGATGTAAGCTCTGTTGGATTCATCCTTTGGAGTCAGTTTGACGAGACTTACTGTGATCAGATCCGAATTTACCTGTTTAAGGGCTTTGGAGAGTAGTTCATAGACTTCAAGATTAGAGGAGCGCAAACACCGACACCTAGATCATAAAAAAACATAAATATTTATTTGTTTATTCTATAAAAAACAACCCAATTGATTAGATTGGCTTCTCCCCACGATTTGAAGTCACACAAAAATCCCACACATTTCGAAAAGCAGGGAAAACGAAGAACACTTGTGAAGTGGTAATTGCATTCAATTTGATGTTGTGAATTACCTGTCGGGTAATGCATCTCCTTTTGGCATTGCAATGGGTTACAACTATGGAATCTTTAATGGTGCACGTTAACTTTTGTGAATGATTTTCAACACAAAACTGAATTGAATATGAGAGATTGGACGGATTTGAAAGTTTTAGTGTGTTTGAATCCAAAAGACAAAGGAAGCCGGGAAGGAGGAAAAAAGCCCTAAGCCTATCCGATCGCTCACGTCCCACGTTTCATGGGATTGATAGATAGTATGGAAAAAAAATTAAAGTTCACATAACTTTTACAGAACTCTTGATCATTTGGTCGGGAGGCAACCAACAGATTCGCCCATTCTAAATCATAAATCAAACCCCAAGGCCGACTTCGTCATCATCAACATCACCACTCTCTCCCCTCCCTGTCTACATAGAATTACTTCTCAAGAAATCTTTTCCTTTTTGAGATTTAAGTACGGGTGGGATCTGTCCGGTCTGGGTCGGGGTTTTGCTAAACCCGGAAATTATCCATAAGGCATCGGGTTATGAAAATTAGGGACCGAAAAAAGCCCACTGTATTCGGTCTGAGTCAGGTTTTTTGTAGACCGGGTTCGGTCCGGGTTCAGGTTGGGTCGGTTAAAGCCCGAATGTGAAATCACTCATTTTTCTTTTATATTTTAAAATCTATTTTCAAATAAAATTAATAAAAAGTACAAATCACAAATAAAAATCACAAATATTAGTCTCCAAAATCACCAAGAATTCAAATCCAAAGAAGACAATTATCATAATATTTTGTTTAAGATGCATAAAAAAAGTAATATAGGTGTTCTAAAAATGTTATGAAATAAAATTTATGGATAAAAATATAACTAAAGTTAATATAAATATGTTTTCATGGTCATTACGGTAAATAAATTGAACATATTTGCAGTCACTAAAAGTTGTTAAGTCATTTTTTCGTCCATCATGATTATAATCATAAATTAGGAATTAATTTATCAATTATGTTGGTATATTATATGAAGTATTGATTTTATATTAAGGCTAATTGTTTCAAGTCTTATCGGTCCGGATCGGGTTATAGATTTTAGGGCCCGTTAAAGAGCCCGAAGTTTCAGGTCTGTTCCGGGTTTTTTTTTATTCGGGTAGGTCAAAAAGAAAAAACCCAGACCGATATCATAATTCGGGCCGGTTTCCGGGGTTTTGGTTCGGGTTTTCCCACCCCTAGATTTAAGTCCCTTTCCCAACTTCTAACTTCGGTTTATAATTTCAAATACTCGCTCCATCCCGAAATTATTTCATTCTATTCTTTTCGATCCGTCCCGAATTTATCTCCTCTTTCCTTTTTTAGCAAAGAATTTGTGGTTCACAACCATTCTTACACATTTCTCTTTCCTCTGCACAATTCTCCACTATACATTTCCCACTATCTTAATACGTGTGTCAATTATACTTGTGAAGATAAATATGGGATGGAGGGAGTATTCTACTCCCTCATTCTGTCTAGAACAACAAAATTATCCGTACACAAACAATATATTCTGCGTGACAAACATTATGCAAATGGGTACACAAAATGAGGTATCCCTCACATTTCCCTTCTTTGGTTACATTAAAGTTACCTTATTGTTTTCTCACGTTTTACTCTTAAGAAACAAATGTAATGACCGCATGGACAACTTAGTAGTTCAGTTGATCACATTAAAGAAATTTGAAAAAAGCAATCCACCATCGTTCGCGCGATAGTGGATGAGAAAACTTTTAAAGTGAGAGACTCTTTGTATGGAATTGGACTAGGATCCAACCTCTATATCCGATTGATCCTCCCTCCGTCCCGAATTGAATTGCAAACTTTGACCGGCACAAGAATTAAGAAATGACAATAAATGATACTTGCTTTTTACACTTTTGCTCATCTATCTAAAAATAGATGCCTTTAAATTAATGATGAAAAAATAAAAGTAAGGGTAAATTTATCACTTTATTCTTATTTACATACCTAAAATAGAAAATGCAAAATCATTTTGAGGCAACCAAAAAAAGAAATTTTGAAAATCAAATTGGGAGGGAGGGAGTATATCATACTTACAACATTTTTAATGCTTTGTCAAAATTTTGGAGTAGGGGATTCAATCCTTTGGAGCTACTAGAGTACTAATAACCTTTTGATTTTAATAAACAAGTCTATATGTTTTTATTTTAAATATTTGATTATACAATTTCCTAAGTAAGGAGATCCACACATTCAAAATTATAACCTTTATATTCAATTTATCAAACTAATTAATACCTTTTTTTTACCCAACATGTACATTTTTTCCCAACATGTACATTTTCATTTCATACTTTAAATTGTGTAAAAATCAAAATAAATAAAATTATAATTACTTTTATAATTGTATTAACTGAAGTTATTATAAAAGATAACTTTTTCATTAGGTATTTTTCATTAATTCTTTCTTTCATTTATAATACGGAGTATAATGTTTTACCCATTTCGAATTCAGACAATCTACTCATCATTTTCAACCAATTTAATCAATTACAGAACTACCAAACACGCACTTAGATATTACGTAGTATATTCGGAAATTCATTAAATATAACCAAATGGACTATTAAATATGAATTCAATTTCCTCAAAGTTACTATTTGCTGATATGTTAAATCGAAGAGGAAAGAAACAAAATAAATTACTCCGTACTTTCACTCTGCTCCCCATGTACAAAACGTTGACCGTGAAAATCTCTAAATTCCACTTGCAACCCTAAATTTGGCCTATTTTCAATTCAAATCCCCACGGTCAACTCTCTGCAATCTCATTTTGGATCTCAACAAATCCGTTATTTACTTCTTCACCGCCGTTGCCGTTAATGTTACCCGCCGCTGCAACATTTTCACCTTCCTCCTCCTCCCACCGCATTGCCGGCACACACTCCGATTTGTGGCGGGACCTCCAATCCATCCCCTGACAAGCCCGGGAGCAGTAGTTAACGGCGCCACAAACAGAGCACCGGCGGAACTCGTGCCTGCGGGACTCCGGCCTTCCGCAACCGGCGTTCGAGCACAGTCGGAGCCCAGGACCGAGTACACCGTCCTTCGCCGCGTACCAATCGGTTAAGAACTTGTTGGCCGGGTGAGGGTCCGCGCAGGGAACGTCACACCCGAAATCACTTAGCAACGGGCAGCTCGTCCCGGCGGCGATGTGGCGGTGGTGGGGCATGGGATTCCATGCCAGCCATTCGCTATTTTTAACCGCCGATGGAGTGGTGGTGAGCACGTTGGCCAGCTCTCGTGCGTTGGCTTGGACCAGAAACCGCCGTCCCTCGGCGATGTTCCGTTTAACGCCGTATCCGTCCTGGAGGCAGTGCCCCAGCTCACGAAGCGCGTCGATGTGGCCGAGAAATGCGGCTCGAGCGCTGAGTGCGACGCCGGCACGGAGGTCCTTGTCGTTCTTCGAGCCACCGCTGCCGTTGAACTGGATGATAGCGAGAGAGTAAAGAGCCGGCGCGTGGGAATTAATCGCCGCCTTCGCCATAAGTGATGCCCCGCTGCCTCGATTCTCCAAACAGTAAAACCGAATCTGGTTCCCGAAATAAATAATCAGAATGACATAATCAGAACTATTTTCCTTGTAATATATAGCAATAATAATAAGAAATAAAAAATATCAAGGGATAAATAATAAATTAGAAATACACTAACCATGCCGAGAATGTAACAAGCTTCAACGTTTCCAGATTCGGCACAAAGCTTGAGGAATCGGTGAGCCGACTCGGACCAGTTCTTCGCATTCACGGCTAACATTTCCGGCGAAGCTTTAGATAAAACCATAGAGTGAACGCCTATTCCATTTAGCCTTTTGCATCTGAAAGGAAGATACAAAAATGATTAATTACTCCATTAATGCACTTATGCACAAAACGTGTAAAAAAATAATTAAAAACATTTGAAAAAGGAGATCAAGGAGCATACGTGATTAAAACGTTAATAAAATCTGCAGGACATTCAGCTTTGGAGCTGAGATTCGATAGAATGGACAGGACGATATCATCCGGCAACGAATCGAGGAAGTCCGGTTTGTTTGTAAACTCCGGCGAGATTTTCGATCTCTTCCGATTCGTCGTTGCCCTCTCTCCGCCGACGACGGCGGCGGAAGAGGCTTTCCTTCTCTTCATACCCCTGTTTTGTCCGCACATATCACCTCCAAATCCTTGTTATTATCACTCTGTTTCTGAGTTTTTGGTTTGAATATCCAGAAAATTTGTAAAACAGGATAAAGTTTTAAGATTGGAATACAAAATGGAGAGTGATCTTCCAAATCCAAAGGGATAGAGTGAGCAAATGACTTTATATAAGGGAGCAGTAAAATGGAAGAAGAAAAAGGAAATAAATTACTTTTGTGCATTTACTGGAATACCCCTGCGTTTGTCCCGTTTTGAAGACAGAACTCGGTCAAATACCGCTGACCAGATCGGTAGATCCCCACGCCCGTCGTCGACGACGCTTTCTGTCTCCTTTTGTACAATAAAAATACATTATTATACGGTTCCGTATTCCATACCGGGACAAAATAAAATACGTACTGGCCAGAAAGAAATACGTACAGGTACAGGCATCTAAATCAGAAAACGAAAAGTAGGGGAATAATAAAAAAAGGATGATTCTTGACTATTTGTACTGCCGTAATAATTTCAATTGTACGAAAAAATAAATAAGGCCGTGTTTGGCATACCACATGCAATAAATTAAATGGTAAATCTCTGAAGCAATGGTAAGAAAGGAACTTTGAATTTTCCAGTTACATTGATAAGATTTGTAAATTAAACCATGCCTGAAAAGGGGCGACGATAAATATAATGGAAAAAAATCATTGAGGATTTGCAAATTAAATCATTAATTAATTCTCTGCCTCGATGAGTCGCCGGTGGAACTATGGAAGAAGGTAGAAAATTCTATACCTTCTTTCCTAGTTCTTGTTCACTGTTCAAATGGTCAACTTAAATCATTTTTAATCTTTTAATTTATAAATCATTTTTTTTATCAAATTTACATTTTTTATCAGGCTTTGTAGCGGTTTTAATGTAATTTCTGAATATGTTAATTTTATTTACTAAAAATAATCAGATGGTGAACATGAATTAAACCGTAAATGGAAACCTTCTAGTAAGACGGAGGAAGTACCAAACAAATAACTGAAATAAAACGTAAGAATAGTGCCCATTCCAGTTATTATCACCCTCAGGGATGGAGTGTCATCGAGTTATCATCAACTATAATAAGATGTTTATTAGAACTCAAATATTCGGTAATACGGAGTATAATCAATTCTTATTATATGTAGTGTTCCTATCCGATTCCTTCTAAAATGAGCTACTTTGATTTATGCAAGTCCTATCCGAATAATTTATTTAGTCCCATCTAGTATGATATTATGCACATTTTATTATAAACTAAGTTTGGTAGTATGCAAATTTCATCGCAAACTAAGTTTAATTTAGTACGATTTAATCGAATTTTATTTATTATATTTTGTTTAATTTTATTTTTATTTAGTTGAATTTTGTTATTTCTTTTTTTGTATAACCAAATTCGATTTGATTACATGTGATTTGTGCTGACATGGACGTGCAATCCGCCCAAATGATCAGAAAATAAAAAACGTAGTTGAAAATTTGAAATTGAGTCACATGAAAATAAAATAATGAGTACCAATTTAGAGCTCATTTGATAACACTGGAATTGACTAAATCAATTGATTTTGTTAAAATTTATGAATATCTAACTGAAGTGGTTAGATTGACTGATTCTGTTGATTTATTAAAAAATATTCTTTATTAATAAAATAAAATAAAAATTATATGAAAAAAATAGGTAAAGTGATCTTCTCTAGGCTTTACCCAATATCTTCAGAAAAGTAACTTCATTCTTACTTTTTCAATTCTAAAAATTACATGTTTGGTGAAAAATTTAAGTGATAAGTCGAAAAATGGGATAAAGAAACGGACTCTGATTGGTCTCTTAGTGCCTAAATGTTATTTATCCCTTTCTTTTTGTACGTGTATTAGGATTTAGGACGGGTTTGGTACTTTGGTTCGATTACTTTGAAAGGAGGAAAGACAAGGGTACTATATTAAAAAATCCACATTTAGTTGGTTAGATACAAATGATGATAAGAAATCACGTGAAAATACATATGTTAACTAATCAAATTGTTATTTCTATTTTAAAATCTACAAAACATAATCCGAAAAGAGATAATTTCAGATAAGGTATGGACGTTTCTTTTTGCATGTACGGAGTATTAAAGATGATTTTAGAACAAAAGACGTGACAATAATGAAAACATTGCTTTTATATATTCCGCTGAAATTATTACTCCCTCCGTTTCACAATCTTTGACACAGTTTGATTTGTCAAGAACTAAGGAAAAAATGTTACTTTGAGGTAAATTTTACTGTAGAGTACACTGTTTAACACTGTTTGAACACTGTTTGGCACTGTTTGAACATTGTTTGGCACCGTTTGAACACTGTTTGACACTGTTTTGCACCGTTTTGGTAAAGATTTGTTTACCAAATAAGGAAATAAGGAAGTGTGTCAATCTTTTTGAAACATGCAAAAATGGAAAGTGTGTCAAAGATCGTGAAATGGAAGGAATATATATATATAGGGAATTTAAAATATGCACTTAATCATTATGCTAACAAACTAGCTTGTCCTGATCAAAATATGTATTTTCAAAATTTATTTCCAGAATCAATCATATTATCATCAATAATTCAAACGATTCAACTGGTTTATATTGTTTATACAAATGTTATTTTACTGAAATACTCCGTTTTTCCAAAGTCCGTTTTTACATAAATAAAACACTAAACTTCCTCCGCAATTACCTTAATCGGTTAAAGTTTTTCATTTCCTAGCGTTACAGCTGTTTTAACTGAGCAACTAATTTCAGTTTCGTGGCAGTGTTCATCCGAAGCGCGTGTAATTTCACGCTCTGGTAGTGCGACTGGGGTTGTTGAATTAACTTCGTATTAACAAAAATCAGGTACAGAATTTTGGATTTGGTCAAACAACAAACGAAAGGAATCAGTTACCGTGGTTTGTTTTTGTTTGGTTTAATGCCCGTTTTATATCCACCTACACTCTTCCTTTTTTTAAAAAAAAAGATGACATCCCATCCCTGAGTTCCCCAATTCGGATCGGACAGTACTTTGAGAGGATGTAAATTAAATTATAATCTCAATGTGACAGATAGAGAGTGGAGCTCTGTCCCCGGTATTTGAAGAGACCATATACATTTTAGCATAGTAACCCCTCATCGCAGTTGCCGCGATTCGAACCTGACACCTAACCCTTGTGGCACTCCCTTGCTACCAGTTGAGCTACGCCCACCGGTTTCTAAGGAAGTTTTTTATACTTGGAAGAAAAGTGTCTACTATAGGTGCATCAATTTGAAGAGGTATTATAAAAAAAGTTTTCCTAAGGAAGTTTTTTATACTTGGAAGAAAAGTGTCTACTATAGGTGCATCAATTTGAAGAGGTATTATAAAAAAAGTTAGAGTTTTTTATGATAAAAATTTTAGAGTTATGATTTTAATTTGAGATCAGAATTATAGAGATCATACTAGATTAAAAAAGGTCATATTGAGCACACCAAATTTAAATAATTTAAATAATGATAATAATATGCACACACCACATGTTTGCTAGATCATATTGAACTTACATAGATCAGACTGAGACATGCATGTAAATTTCAATGCAATTAAAAAATATACTGAGAAAAATTTGTTCAAGTAAAAGAGTACTTAAGTTTAACTAAAAGAACACTAAAGCTAGACTTGAAACTTAATTCGAAGAAAACATGGATTATTTGTTCAGTTCCAATACTCGATGTACACACACACGTACACACAAATTGGAATGATGATAAATAAAGACCTGCTTGTACTCACCCCTTTTAGTATAAATCAAGGTTTAGAAGAAATCTTTTTGTCCGTCATTGATTTGAATGTATATAATTTTGTACCTCTTCTTCAACACAATGGAACATCTTTCTTGACTAAAAACTAAATAAAGGATCCCTTTTATACACCAGGAACACTTCAATTTGAAGTGATAAAAACCACTTCAGTCGGTGCCTAGAACAAGTCAATGGAAAATTTGATTAAGTTTGTCGTAAGATCACGAAGCCAAAAATGGGAAATCGATATGGTAGGTTTGGTGTGAATACATTATTATTTTCATGTGCTTAGTGAACTAGATTTGTACGATGCGTTTGAAAATTGATCCTCAATGAAACTTTTATGACCTATCTCTCTAGTTCTCACTTCTCTCTAAGAATTGATACTCTCTATCGGTGTCTTTTTGATATTGTGTAGTATGAAATAACTTATGTAAAAAAATGTAACGTCCATAAAGTTTTTGGTTGAATAGGTTAAAGTCCATGTTGCCTTGTTGGACTTCTCTAATTAGGTCAATGTATCTTGGTAAATAATGTGATACACATATATTGACTCAAAGTCACGGGATAAACGTAAAATGTATCTTTGTGTTAAACTTAATATATTACATTTGATATCGCAGTTGATATCAAATAGGTACACAATCGTATACCATAAGATAGTGCTTAAAAATTGAGGAGCACACTTAGCAACATCAAAGTCATTCATCAATGTTTGGTCAAAGTCATACACAATAGCTAGTATCAAAGTCTAGACATGTTTCATAACCAAGTTCATTGTTTCTCACATATGGCATATTTGCATATAGGCCTAGATATGTTCCATAACCAAGCTCATTGCTTCTCACTGATGGGATACTCACTGATAAGCTGGCAAAACGAAGTTAACACTGTTTACACACAAGAAAAGTTGTCCAAGACAGTCCTGTTTCACGATTTCGAGGCCGATTTTGTAATATCAATCTCGTAATGAAAGAAGACTTATGAGGGGAAGTTTGGTTGTGAAAATATGGGATTAACTTGTTTCTTACGAGTTCTAAGATTATGACGGTAATTTGAGATTACCTCGAGATATGAAAATTAAATGGTCAGGGTAATGAAATTGCATTTGATATCTTAAGTATTATAAGACTATTTTCTCTAAAAATTACAAATCTTATATCCCTTAACCAAAAGTTGTATTAAAGTATTCTTACACTCTCATACTCTTGCAAGCCCTCAAAAGGTAATATAATCTTAAAGTCTCATAACCAAGTGTCCTCTAATAACCATCTAAACCCATTGCTAGGTCATGATGTTTTTCTTGCAACAAGATTGACAAACCGCCACATTCCTTACCCTTTTCCTACCGGT